TTAGGTTGAACTATAGAATAAATTAAGAGATACTTCACTACCTCAGTAGATTAATTCAACAGTGAGAAATTAGGATAAAACAACCTTTGCGAAATAAATCATTTTTTACGAGTCGATCACGGACTGATATCAGTTAGAGAACCATTGAAAACCAGCACTGGAGTACTGGACAGCTGCTGTTTCATCCTAGTTTGGGAATCATCGGCAGTACGCACCCACTGAGATTCGAACCCAGGACCTTCCGCTTACAAGGCAAGCTGGCTCGTATACCAATCACCCTCTGGGAACCGATTCAATGGCTCATGAATTCTAACTTCTATTAATTCGTGATTTAGCGCGACCCAAACCGTTGTCGTTGGTGGGAAATCCATCCACACACGTGACATCTAATTGGACGTTACTGGTCACGACTTCTCACTAGAACTCCAGGAAGCTCCATCCTGTAGCAAGTCCCAGTGGGTGCGCACTACCGATGATTCCCAAACTAGGATGAAGCAGCAGCTGTCCAGTACTCCCTGGTTTTCAATGGTTCTCTAAATAATATCAGTCCGTGATCAACTCGTAAAACATAACTAATCCTCACAAACCAAAACTATAGAAAATAAATCATTATAAAGTTATTTTGGTTGATGCTGACCAGCAATGGAGTCCAGTTTTGCGTATTTCGCCCCATTTGCGATTCGTCATCTGTGTGTACCTACACTCCCAGCTGGGAATGGTGTTCTCAGTGAGACTGAAAACCTTGAACTTATGCTTTAAAATGCCAAACTAGGGTTTCTAATCTCAGTGAGAACGTCATCACTCACTGGAAGTGTAGGTGCTTACAAATGATGAATCGCAGATAGGACAAGGAAAGCATCCTGGACTCCCCTGCTAGTCAGCATCAACCAAAAAATAACTTAACGTTAATCTCAAGACGAGGTCAAAGACCCAGAAACCGAGCATTTCAGTTCAATAAAATGAACCAACAGGGAAGCAAATCAACCCAAAAATAAGTTATTATATTACTCAATACATTTGTGTTTCTGTAGTAGCTCAGTAGTAACTCATTTGATTACAGCATGAGGTGACGTCAATCACCATCAACGGGAGGGATTTGAAAGAGGTGACTTCATTCACTCACTTATCTAGGCAGCATTGTCTCAACTACAGGCAGGTGGAACAGACGAGGATGTCAAATCGAGAATCGGGAAGGCGAGGAACACATTCATCAACCTCAAACCAATCTGGAAATCTTCCGCTGTCACTCAACTCAGCATCAACAACAAAATTCGTATTTTCAATACAAACGTCAAGTCAGTCAGTTCTTCTATACGGATGGATCAGAAACTTGACGGCGGGTCACAAAGAATGAGCATTTCCAACAGCCTATTGCAGACCTTTATCAACAACTAACTGTCTTCGCTGGCTCTATACTCAAGATTGGATGGCCGGAAAGAACAAGAACCAACAAGAAACAAACTATGGGAAGAAACAAAACAAGAACCAATCGGCCAACAAATATGCAGGAGAAAGTGGAGATGGATTGGACACTCACTCGCTGAGGGGGCTACTCGCTGGGTGACATCGCGCGTCAGGCCATAGCTCGAGTGGGACCCGATAAGGAAGAGGTGAGTTGGACGTCAGTGCAAAGGTGACATGGAGGACATCGTGTGAAGAAGAGTTGAAACAGTATGGACTAAGATGGATGCAGGTGAAAAGTACAGTAGAAGACAGAAGCAAGTGGAGACGTGTGAATGAAACCCTATGTTCCACTAAGAACTCAAGGGAACGTTAATAATAATAATAATGAGGTGATGTGGGTTCAAATTACTCAGAGAAAATCAATTCCGTTGTGTTAACAGATACGCCTTGTTAACGAGTGCCAACGAGCATTCAGATCTAAGTCCAGGGCTTCCTGATGATTATCCCCAATCGTCTAACACCACTTAAATGGCTCTCATCTACAAAAATCACATTTTTCACCTTACATAAATTATATACGATAAGCCAATGCTTTGGCTTCAGTATATTCCAGTTCTGGAAAGCCTGTCTTACCGATGTATATGGACATATACGTTACGGTAAATTTTTCAGATTATAAGATTTTATAGAGATTTGGATTAATCTCAGTGTATATTTCGTCATGAACCAACATTATTTATATGCCAATGGAAACTAGGAGGAAATGCACAGGCTTTTCGCCCAAATTTGGAACTCTTCAGTGGCACACACTTACTACCCCATCAGGAGCCAAACTCAAGACCTTCAGGTTGTGAAACCAAGCTGATTGACCATTTAGCCACTTGTGGCGGAATTCAATGACGCGTAAATTCTAACTTTAATTGTTTGAAGATGTCCCTTATAAAATTTAAAAGACTGAATAATAAATAATGGATATTCTTTTCAATAAATTCGTCGTCAGGTTCAATATTTATATGGCCACTTAACTTTTAAAAATTTTGTTATTAACAACATGAAGATTTTAAACTACTCTGAAACAATAGTACCAAAATACTACATTTCAGAAGCATCAGTAATAAATTGGATGAAAGTAATAGGGAATTTATGAATCTGTTATTTCTAAACCAGCTTAGAATAGCACTAGTAGCTCCATATAGAGTTTCAAGCGAACTGCCATGGCCTCTGCGGCTTGGAGTGTTCAGTATTTGGAGGCCTTTGGGAATTTATTCGGTACTGGATAGATGATAGAAACAGAATCTTCAATGCTATCTTTCTGGCGTGTTTGGACGAGGTGTTCTAATATATCGAAATGCTAACCAGCCGTTTATTTATCTACACTGGTAAGTGTTTCTGAGCGTGAAAAATTAGGGTTCCTAGATCAATGGTGAATAAAATAGGCTGTATGGAGGCAGTCGAATTCATAGGCACAAGATGAGATGGCTAGCCTGAATACTTTGTCTCCCACTATTATATTAATGCAGATCAACTCTTATTGATGTTTTTGTAATGTTCTAATCTCTTGGTACGATTGATTCAATGTAGTTTAAAACCTTTATGTTGCTAACAGCAATATGTCTTCAATTATTATGTCCATATCAATATTCCACCTGATGACGAATTTATCGAAAAGGATATTCTTTATTCACCATTAATTTTTAACATTTATTTTGATCACAGCTTGATTCCATACCATATTTTTTGATACAAGTATGGAATTTTCAGCATGTGATATCGGTAGCTCAAATTTTGCAGGCCGACCATAGATATTAGGTGTGCGTCGGCAGGGGATCGAACCCCGGACCATGTGTATGGTCGGCGAGAGTCCTAACCACTCTGCCACCGACCCACGTTAGTTGGTGATACTGCACTGCTTTCAACAAACACCTTATTAAATAAGCATCCACTTCACCTTAATATGGTTGATCCCACGACTTCTCAGGACAGTTTCAGTAAGCATTCGATGATCTCTAACTCATAGTAATGATTTATGCCGAAGTCTACAGTTTCTGTTAAGAAATAAACAAATTTTTCACAGCACCTGGTTTCATAGTTCCATCTACTTATGGTTCACAATAAGAATTTGCAAACTGCTTAACCGAGATGAATTTCACGTATACTAACTAGTCTGCCTAAGTAGATGTATAAATTTGAGGAATGTAACTTAACGCTGCCCTCTGAAACTAACTATGCCCATAAAGACTCTGGATGGTCTTTGCTCTGAACAAACCAAAAGAACTTAGAAGTAATTCCATATTAGTTTGTTTATTAGATGTATCACACAGTAAATCAATATTATTTACTGGATGACACAGTTTCGAACAAAATTTATTGTTCATAATCATATCAATTGTAATCACACGACTTCGAAACTTGAGTTTTATAGTTTTCTTTGTCTTCTCCTATTTGTCGTAGGGGTAGTAGAATTTTCCAGATATCTGGGTGGACAGGTGTTGAATCATTCCTATTACGTGTATTTGCAGTTGATTCGATAAACAAAGCTTCTGTTATCAATCTCTCCCTATACCCTGTGACATTAGATTTTAAAACTGTCATCCTATCCCATCCTATTGTATGGTTGTGTGTAACTGCATGTAGTGCTATAGCTGAACTATTCTCTAGATTTCTTATCTTATTCAGGTCAACCAATCTAGATTTTGCTAGGTTTTTATGTTCAGCTAGTCTGACTGCCCCTGTTCTACTAGTTTGACCTATGTATTTGACCTGACAATCATTGCAGGCAGGGTATTAGATAAACTAAATTGTTTTTTTAAAGGCTCCACAGGATTGATCCTTTAACCGACAAAGCTTGTTTCTAATTGAGTTTGTGGGTTTGAATGCCAGCCGCTTTTATTCCTGCCTTGTTAAGAATTCTGCGTAAGGTTTCCGAGGTTCCTTCCTTGTATGGAATTACTACTGATGATTTAGATTCCTTATTGTCGGTGTCATCATTAATATTATTGTTATTATTATTTATTATCACTATCGCTACTATCATTATTTATTTTATTTTTACATTTCCCTACATATTTCTTGACTAATTTATCCGGGTAATTATTAAGTTTCAAGGCTTCTTTTATGTGTATCACTTCCTGTTTTAGATTTTCCTTGGTGCTACTTAGTTTTTGTGCTCTGTCACTTAAACACTTTACTGATCCTATTTTTACTGACATAGCTGATGGGATGATCGGAAGTCCAAATATCTGTTTGAATGTGTGGGTTTCCTGTAAACACAAGTAGTGTTTAACTTCCCATCTTCTTTCCTTTTTACGTTGCAATCTAACAATGGAAGCTCCCCTTCCTGACTTTCCAATTCATAAGTAAATTGAATTGCCTCTACCTTCTAGTTGATGTGTTCGAAAAAGGCACTTAGAAGTGTTAAATCATTTCTCGCTGGATATGAAGTATCCTTGGTTGGTGTCAATGTTAACCGGTATATTCTGCAAACGCCTCAGTTTTCCCTTACGCCTGCCTAAATGATGATGATTTAAATGGGTTTTTTACGCTCATACTCAAATGAACCAATATGTTTTTTTTTGAATTTTGTCTTTCTGTTTTAGTACATTCCACAAATTCAATCGACCAGAATCCAAATGTTAGTGGCTGTAATCCAAGAAACCTTCAGAATACAGATGATATATGATATAATGTGTAAATATTCATTAAAATATTTCACTCTACTGATCTACTTCTGTGTATTTCTAAATATCCCTTTAACGAAATCTGTTCAAATCAATGAACCAAATGTATTCTATGTTAATGATGATACAAATGAAGGTCAGAGAATCGGTCGGATAACACATTTCAATGGGAATCAACATGTCAATTTAAAATCAGGTCATTTAAAAGCAGTCATAGTTCGAGCAAATCGACCACCAGCAGCCTATTTCAGACTGAATGAGAACACGGGAGATTTGTATACACGAACTGTTATCGATCGTGAATCATTGTGCCTGAAAACATATCAGAACGATGAACGTCCTAATTCACTGGGAAGAAATTTAAACATTGACTTTTCTGATTCAAATTATCAATCAGGAGCATTTTTGTCAAATTCAAAAATTGTCAATCAGTGTAAATTTACTTTTCAAGTAGCTCTGCATCGTCAAGCATCTCAACAACAACAACAGGAAACACAAGAGTACCAGTCTAATGACCCTGGACTTCATCATTTACCAGAGTTTATTGATATCCATGTCTTTGTAATTGACCGTAACGATCATATCCCTACATTTCAACCACATTCCGTTATTAACTTATCAATTCCAGAATCTGTACCCATAGGGACACGTGTTCAACTGCCGTTAGCCTATGATCCAGACTCACCAGAGTTCAGTGTACAAAGATATGAGTTGTATCCTTTGGAATCGACAGATTTCAGCTTACACATTCAAACGACAGATGTGATACATAATGCAAATTTAATACAAGAGATAACTGGATTATTTTTAGAATTGAAGACAACACTTGACAGAGAAACAAGAGAAAGTTATGCACTTGAAGTGAAAGCATTCGATTCACCATCAACGACATCATCATCATCCGCTTCTTCCCCTTCATCCCCTACAATGAATACATTCATACCTCGTCTAACCGACAATCGTAATGTACTGAAAATATTTCTAACTATTGAAGACATCAATGATAATGGTCCAATTTTTCAACCACAAAATTCTTCAACACAACTGGACTCACACAATGATGCAATCATCAGAACTATTCCATCATCATCGTCAACATCAACATCAATGCTCCCAGCAGGTATAATAACTTACAAAGTTGATATTATTGAATCAACTTGGCCAAAATCATCAGTTTTACAGCTGATAACAAAAGATTTAGACAGTTCAAAGTATTCTTTAACTAGATATGAATTTTCATCAAATGTTGAAGGGATTATTAAACAATTGTTTAAATTAAATGAACATTCCGGTGAATTATTTCTAAGGCAACCATTAGACTATGAAAAACGTACTAGTTATTCATTTGATGTATTAGCTATAGATAGTGAATATGATCGTCGTAGTAAAATGGAAAGCATTGGTAGTAGTAGTAGTAGTCTCCATTTAGTCAGTTCAAGATTACAACAGAATATATTTACATCGACAGCTAATATTCTAGTGAATGTTATAGATATTAATGATGAAGTACCAATTATTGAAGTGGATTATCTACGCGTTGATGAAACCACTGGGAGACCAGCAACATTTGCACGTATTGAAGAGAACAGTGATCCACCACAGTTTATAGCGGATATTTTAGTTACAGATAGAGATGTGAATGCAGCTAATAGTCATGTGGTATGTACATTAATGAATAAAGCGAACAAGTATCCGAGTAATCATCATAATAATAATGACAATAAAACTAATTCAATTACAAATTCATTTCAACTTTCTGAAGTTAGACGTCAACCTGGCTTAGTTCAGTATAATGTGTTAACAGTACGTAGCTTAGACAGAGAAGTGAATGGAGCAATAACACGGATTAAAATTCAATGTTCAGACTCTGGTGAAGTGAAAAAGATTTCTGAAGCTGATTTAATTATTCATATATTAGATTTAAATGATAACTCACCGGCAATTCATCTGATCCCACAACAAACAAGTGGATCTAATAATAATAATAATGGGGAGAATATTGTATTTCTTAGAGAAAATGCACCAATCGGTACAACTGTTGCACAATTTAATGTAACTGATCAAGACTCTGGTGAGAATAGTAGAACTAGTTGTACACTGTTAACAATGAATGATCCTGTTCTATTAAATTTAAATGATTATTTTCATGTAGATCCAGTATTGTGTAATTTAATGACACGTAAACCAATCGATCGTGAATCCAGCTATCCACCAATAGATGAAATTGACCTGAGCATTGAAGTGAAAGATCATGGTCAACCGGTACGTAAATCATCGTCGATAAGCCTTAAAGTGAAAGTTATCAATGAGAATGACAATATTCCAGTATTTCAGAACACATTTTATCGTTTCTCTGTTAAAGAGAATTCACCTATTGGCATGAGTGTTGGTCAGATAGTGATTACTGATCTGGACGGTGATTATGCACGATTAGATGTTCGACTACAAAAACAAGAACAACTGCCATTTAAACTATGGAAATCAGAAACCTCTTATGGGTATATTTCCATGGATCAATCTGAAGCTCAAGTTGTAGTCTATTATCTGAATACAACACGAATATTGGATCGTGAAGAGAAATCGAGTTATGAATTTGAAATTTATGCAAATGATGTCAGCGAAGATGGACTGCTGGGTCAACACAGACTACTGTCAGTGAAAAGTTTCAGTCATACAACAAGTGCAACAATTCTAGTGACAGTTGAAGATGAAAATGATAACGATCCTGTGATTATATTTCCTCAACAACCGAATAAAACATTTATTCTTTCTAATGCGGAAAAGAAATACTATCAGTTGATGACTGTGAATGCCAATGACAAAGATCCTACATCCAATTCGTTCACATTTATGTTAGAAAATGAAGAAGAAGATTTTCTCAAATCCAATGATAATTCTAAAGGTATTGAAACTGACGAAACTGATACAAAACTGTTGAAGTCAACAGAGTTAAACACCAACCCTAAATATCCAGTATCCAGTTCATTTTTAGAGATTGATCGAAGTGTAGGGACAGTTTATTTAAGTAGAGATATTCATCAAAATGACACAGGAACTCATGCATTCCGTGTAATTGTACATGATAGTATAATCAATCCACGTACAGCTTCACTCAGGTTTATTGTTAAAATCGAACCAGTTCCACCGAGGTCACATCAAATGAAATTGAACAGTTTACACGATAATGATCATGCTGACCGTCGATTACTTTCAGGCGAGAGTTCTGAATTCAGTGAACATAACTACGCCTTCAACAATCATTATTCCAAGCTGTCCGGTAGTCAAGATTTTTTGATTCATAGAAAGTATGACAATATGCGGACAACTTTTGATAATCATTCCACCATGCCTTTCGCATCATCTTCACCAGGAATTTCATCATCATCATCATCATCGAAACAGTTGACACGTCGTTTAACAGGTGACACAGTATTAATCCTTTCGTTAGGTTTGATTTTGTTAATCCTTTTAGCAACTTTGTGTCTGGTGATTTTTGCACGTCATTGGTCATCAGGTGCGTCAAGTGTCCCACAGAATTCCAATGCGTCAGATAAAATTAGATGCGCCGAAATATTTTGTTGTAATCCGACTAGTGGTAGTAGAAGTATTAATGGTAACAACAAACATCAAGTGACAAATAATGAAACCTTGAAAAAAGAAGTCATCAATATCTTTCATTCACCGGCTCCAACAAATTTACAAGACCCACAACAGATCAATTTAAACTGTGATACATTACGATCTATGGATACATTTAATGCTAGTCTAAGTGATTCATATAGTCAAAAAATGTTAGACAGTGAACATATTTATTATCGTGATTGTAGACAATTTTCTCTTCTACCTGTGATAACAAGTCCAGTTGGTGGAGACAATGGATCATTCCCTACGGATTATACAGCCTTAAGAGCTGTAACATCCTGTAAGTGTTGTACACCACCTCCAACAGGATATACTTATAATAATAATACAGACAGTGGAAATCCACATTCCCTAGAATCTTTCACAAATGAATCTTTAAAAAGTAGTAAGCAACAGACAAATCATATTCCCAATGGTTCTACTGTCACGTATTATACAACTTTAACGCCAAGACCAAGATCTGAAAATACAACAACGGATAAACGTAAAGTTCGTATTATGACAGTTAAAGAGAATATGGAGATGGAACCGGAAAAAAACTTTGCCAATGATTATTCAGTAACATGACAGGAAACTTAATCAATAATTGGTTGACTTTAATAAAGTGCAATAAGTAAGTATCATCCTGATTTTACTTACAAATGAACTAACCTTTATTTTTTTAACAGGTAATATTTGATAACGGTTTAATTTGTACTGAACAGCTGTTTCATCTTAGTTTACCACTTGTCATCAGTACGCATCGCTGGGGTTTGAACCCAGGGCCTTCCGATCACAAGACCAGCTTGTAGACAACCATTTAGCTACTGAAACCTAGCCCAATGGATCATGAATTCCGACTTCTGATGTCCGCTCGTGATCAAAACTGTCACCAATCAAATTCCCGTAAACCAATACTTGATAATTATTCGAGTGCGCACTAAAAACTGGCTATATACAGGAAGTTAGCCGGAGTTCTAGTGAGAAGTCGTAGTCAACATGGTCTACCAATTCAGGCAGTAAATCGATCACTTGTCCTTGACATTGGCTTGCGGTGGCGCTATTTATATTGGTAGAAGCTAGAATTCACGGGCTATTTGTTTGGGTCCTAGTGACTGGGTGGTATACGAGCTAGCCTTATTACCAGAAGGTCTTGAATCCGAAACCCAGTGAGCGCGTACTAATGAAGAGCCTCAAACTAGGACGAAACAGTTCTCCGACACTGCCTAGTTTTCTAGTGGTTCTCTAGATGTTGTCATTTCGTGATGAATAATAATAGTAATAATTTGCTTTATTCCAAAACAGTACTTGTGATACAGAATGGAATTCTCAGCATTTTTTTACTACAGTATTGCATCTAGTTAGTACATTATCAATAAATAGAATTCTACATAGATTACGGAAATCACAGTTCATTATGACAACAACATATTGGCATGTTGGTTGCAAAGCCAAAGCTGAACAGTATTTGGAGGTGTTAGAAAAGTAGGTGCTAACATATTTACTGGCGTAAGCGAGAGAAAGAAACAAAGCAGCACATAACGGAAAAATAAGAGAGAGAGAGAGAAAAGGAAAAGAAAATGTTGTACCTATAAATGATATGAGTTGGAAAGTCGAGGTCCAGTTGTTCTACTGACTATTTAATGAATTATAGGTGTCACGCCTAATGCTTTCTTTATCGCACAGAACACGAGCTAAGTAGGGTATGGTTGAGTTTTTGTACTTGCTGGTGCGAGCATATAGTTTTCTATGTGGGCTTCTGGTTTTGCCTGATGAGATGCAAGGGGAGAGTTGTGAGTGAAGAGGGTGGTGTGAGTTAGACGGAATGGATTTGGCCCATTTTTCACATGAGTCCATGTGCCTGTCGACCAGAATATTAACAAGCTGGTTAAGTGGCACGTTGCTAACCCTGCTGACAACCTTTAACATCCTGCGTAATGTGTTATAGTCTTTCTTCAGTAGCCCGGGAAAAACTAAGGAACAAAGGAACAATAGAGAATAATAGGCAGAATGCGAGAGTTAACGAATTGTAGGAGTAAGGGTTGGGTTATACCAGAATGTTTCAACTTCTTGATGTAGAAGTTGAGACGGAATATTTTCTTAGAAATCACCAAGATATGAGACGACCAGGAGAGATCAGCAGATAGAATGACGCCTAGGTATTTAATTTCCGACTTGGTTTCTATTTCAGTACCATCTATGTTGCTCACCTCGTGAGAGCCAACCAGTTTGTTTAGGTCAGATTTATGCCTGAAGGTGAAATTGACTGTTTGGCATTTGGAAGAGTTGAAGGTAAGACCGTTTTCCTTGGACCACTGGCTGATTTCTGACAGAAAGCCATTCATTTAGTTTAGAGCAGTCACTTTGACATTGGACAGGCGAAGATACAGTCAGATCATCAGCATATTTGACAAAATTAATGTCATTTGAAGATGGTAAGTCATGTAGAAAGAAAGAAAAGAGAAGTGGGGAGATTAAAGCACCTTGAGGGGCACGAGCTTCAGTGAGTGCAGCAGAAGAGGACTAACCTCTGTATACGGTGTACTGCATTCTGTTAGAGAAGTAGGAATGCAACCAGTTAGTGACCCAGGACTCAATTTTTGTCATAGAGAGCTTATTTAGCAGGAGACATTTAGGTGCAGAGTGGAAAGCAGACGTGAAGTCGAGAAACGTGCAGCGGACGTATTTTGGCATACTCGTCTAATGATGAGACGATACTGTTGTGTAAGACGGCTGCAGCATCTAAAATGCTCCTACCCTGTCTATAGGCAAATTGTTTGGGGTCTTCAAAGTTTTAAGGGAGGGTTCAAGTTTAAGAAGTACTAGTTTTTCTATAAGCTTTAGAAACGGGGAAGTGATGGCAATGGGTCTGAACTTTACGTTCTTGCTGTTTCTAACAATTGGAACTAGATTTATCCAAATCCTCACAAATCTCACAATTTATTATGTCCATTTTATTCACTTGTCTAGAGAAGCTCAAAAGAGATTGTTGAAAGGAATGTTGGAATTTAAACAAGAGGTATATTAATTGTGTTTCACCAGTTCTCAGTCAAAATGTTACGTTTTCCTAGGTGCATTGGGATCATTCTTCTGAATACGACACAGTACCACGTAGATGTGATTATCGTTTGTAAAGTATTTATCTTGAATCATCCGTTTGAGTACTGCTCTATTTTAAAAAAGTTATTTCTGAATTTTTCGTATTGAAACGACTTTTAAATCGAGTTTGTCAGACAAAGGTATAATGTGCCATCAGATAAGTCAATTTGGAAATGTATTCTTTCGTATAACCCATTCCGATTTCTGATGTCTTTATTTTATTACTCCGCATACTTGTTGCGTAACAACAACACTGCCTCCGGAACTATGCATTTAGACAAAGTAATACGACGTAATTTGTCTGAATAATGTAATGCATTTGCGCACAACACATTTCGAACTATCTAATCACACATGGACTTGTCATAGGAATATGTATGAAATTAATAAAGAGTTAAGAGGTGAGAAAATAAATTTAGGTCAAATTAAAAGGACATATTGAAGGTCAAAATAACAATGATCACTAAACCAAATAAAAGAGATAGAAGTAAATCTACCCTGGTATGTATCAAAACAAAGTTTACCAAGGAAGGTTTAGTGTGGTAACGAATTGTTGCTTTGGACGCATAAAGGTGGTTGAAACTTTTTAATTGCTAGGGATTCCACAAACTTTGGGATACGTCCCAAACACGTTTTATAGATAGGTTTAAATGATGTGTAAACATCAATTTAATGTCCCGTCTCTATAATGTTTTGCGAAAGAGGATCTGTGCTCACCATTAATGGATTCTGGGGATTCTATTTGCTTCTGGTACCATTTAGGAATATGCTCTGAAGCCCTTACTTGCAGAAATCGATGAGTCCTCTCTATGTGTGTGTATCCCAACTCGCATTTAAATTGGTGAATATAATGGGATGTGACATAATTTCCTGCATGTTCTAAAAACTTAGATGGATATATCGGCTTCACATTCTCAATTATTATGATCATAGCTGTATAAAAAGTCTTTTTGACCACAGAATTCAATCTTTGTCTGGTTATCAAGCTGCTATGATGCCTCGTATAGGGTAGCTTGCCGCTCACGCCTTTCTAAGCGACGAGTTGAAAAGTGGGTCTTGGTGTTCTGACTACTTTATATCTCCTGATGAACTTGTCTGGATAATTATTACCAAACAGAGTTTGTGTCAACTTTCTTTCTTCCACATCAAGTGTGTCTTCGGTGCATATTCATTGGATTCTACTGAAGAGGCACCTTACTAAGCCTACCAGAAATTGTGGTAATTAAGGTACTGTCTTGTCCAGGTAGGTTTCCTATAAATAGATTGTTTTATTGATCCATCAAGCCGTCGACTAAGCAATCTATCTAGGAAAGATAAACAATTATCTTCTTCTTCTTCTACTGACGCAAGTGGTATGCTATTCTGAACTTCATTCATTCGAACAAGGCTTATCACTTATGATTACAATTACCATACTACTATTCTTTATCTTGTGCATTTCTGCTCATGATATTTCTTTTGAATCTACTTGTTTTCTTTGCTTTCTCTACGTTCCTGCGCTTTATGAAGTGTTGGTAACTTAACTGCTGTAGTTCTGTGCAGTGCTGTATATATATACTTCATATCTAGTCCATAAGGAGAATAACATTTCACTGTTAAATAAAGTGACATTTAAACAGGTGTCATCTTGAAAAACACTTCTTAATTACCGATAATATCTCTTTATGCCTAATTCACTAATTTACTTATCTTTTATTTCATGCCTAATAGCCTCGTCATCTTATCGTCTGAGATTATCTTAACACATTCAAGTTTTTTTTGTTGTTGCATGGAATGTTAATTTACGCGTCAATTTACTTACGACTTTGTTTTTCCCTCCACCATCACTGTCAGTTCAATATTCAAGAGTAGAAAGACTATAGAGAGAGAGAGAGAAGATAATTAGCTTGTACAGTTTTCTCAATAGAGAAAAAATAAATGATAGACAAGAAAATCTACTGACATCCTCTTTCTCTGGCCTATATATCTTAAACAACAATCATAATTGACTCATTACTAAAAGAAGGAGAAAACACTGGCCATCATTTATTATGAAATACTTCTATCTTGTTCTCAAATGTACAGGCGGATACACATTCCAGTTCATTAATACATGTTGTGTTATCTGGAAATCTGTCGAAAATACGAAAGTGGACACGTGTATGGAGAGAGAAAGAGAGAGATAGGAGGGAACAGAACGTGCTTACAGTTAATTACGGTGAAAAAAAGTTGTGAATTTTCAGTAAATCAAGTAAATCCTGTTGTCCATCTGTCTCTCCCGCTCTCCCACTGTCTCGCTCGCTCTGTGTCACTTTAAGTACCCGTCACTTCACTAGTTCTTCGTAAAAATGTTGACATAAATGTATAAGTGATAATCATATATGCTCTTTTCCATTAAATCTGAATCTATTATTAAAACAGTAGGGAAGATGAAACCTATTATTAATATTATTATTATTATCACTTCCATGTAATTACAAATGGATTGTTTTCTCCATCCATTGATGTATTTGTCTTCATGTTTCACCTACCTACACGTCCAGTTTTAAGTGGCTT